AACTGAAGCTCTGAAAATCAAAGTTTAGTTAAAGCAAGTCGTAGCGTACTTCTGTTTATATTTATTATGTTACTAATAAAAAATATATTAATCGTTTTATAATTCAATTATTTATACTACGTATTTCAAAAATTCTGGAATCGTGTTACTATTTTTTGTATGCTTTAATTATTAATACAAAAAATTATTCAATAGATGTAACCACAAACTTGTAAGCTATAGAAAAAAAATTAAGATAAAATACAAACGAACAAATATCGCGTTGCATTCTATCTTCCAAAAAATAAATTTAATCGCGATAGGGTTATTTTTACAGAAGTATACTAATTGCGTTAATACCTATATGAAACAATAGATATAGCATTAATGTTAAACTAAACACAAGGTATAATATTTATATATAATCATTTGAACAATTAATTAGAATCGATTGAATGTGTCTTGAATTATTTATGTGAATGTAATATAATATAATATAAGTAATATAAAATAATAAAATTTAAACAACAATTGCAACGCGTAATTAAATAATTAATTCGATATATCATTTCATTTGCATTAGAATTAATTAATAAAAGGAGAAGTTAAAATTTTCTAATGCATCGAACGTCAGCCATTGGCCCGACAGTGCTTACGTTGCACCATAYAAWTDYYATGGACACCGTAAGCAATATCGGTTACCGGATCTCACCACGGGGAGGTTGCTGCGTCGGAGATCCATTCTAAGATTAAAGAAAAGAAATAAAGAAATATACTTGCACGTATGTATGTGCAGAGTTGTATGCACCACCATTGATTAGTATAATTTCCATGGAACGATGGTGAACGTCTTTCTGAAACGATGGAAACAATGGGATGATTGCATACGCCTTTCTGAAACCATAAAAAGAATGACAGATTATTGCAAAAATCTTTATGAAACCATAGAAAAAAATATAAAATCATATAATTCTAATTACAGATCATCTTATCTAATGTCAATGCATGCACACCATCGATTATGACTGCATCAATATGTTAATCAAATGAGATTTAATTAGATATCTAATTCTGTAATGAAATATTAATTAATTAGACAATTATTAATTACTTACGCGGAGAGGAACTAGTTGAGACCTATCCCACCGCCGTCCGGAAACAAAGTGAGGTGATGACGTAGTCGAGTCACCTCTCCCCTCCTATTTACCTTATAAGGCAGTGCCTAAATGTTTTTCTATGCGTACTAGATGAAAGATCACGTGTATACATAGCCAACGTTCAACAACGTTTACCTGTGTCCTTCTCATTCGCATGTATTTCTTATTCTAAACGTATATTCAAACGTATTTAATCATTAGTATAGATAAACGCGTAAATATAAAAATCAATACTTTATGTATAATATGTTAACTATGTTATAATAAAATAAACTACGAATAAAAATACATTAGTATGAGAATGTATATTGAATATACTATGAATGTATAATTAATTACCGATTAAAAAAGTATATTATTCGAACTTACCGGTTTATAATAGAAAAAAGCCGAGATGTTTGTTCGTTCAAATGCTAAAATATAATATAATCAATATATAAATAATAATCAATAAATCAATAAAATTTTAGATTATAATATTCTCATTTTAGTATTCTCTCTTTTAATTGTTTAAACAATAGTCTTATTATTTTAATATTTTAATTGGTAATCTGACGAACGCGTTTGATTAAAAGTATTAATTATTTCGAAGTATTCAGTTGTTTACTCGTCGACATGCAGTAGCATACTAAACGTGAAACTGTCAATGTTAGTTAATATTGATAGGTTATAATTATATATATTAATTAACAATAAAAATAATTTATACAATTATCTTTATTTATCGTAATTTTAATTATTCGAATAAACGTGAAATATGTCATAGAATTTAACGATATATCTAAAATACATTGAAGGATCATAAATAATATCGTACAGTATAATTTATTAAATATATTTGATCGTGCAAGGAGAATATGGCTTTTTTCCAATTGGTACTGAAAGCTCATCGTTTAGAAAAACTTCGTCGTACATACGAGTATGAAAAGTTACGATCGATCGAGCTTACGAAGGGTGCCAAGGGTTTGACTTGGAGTCAAAGACTTCGTCGTAAAAAATTGCGGTAGGTTTCGTTGACCCCCCATCTCAATCCTTATCTTTATAGTCAATCCAAAAAAAGTTCAGGATTTTAGTAAATAAAAATTTCTATTACTCGTACGTCATTTCAAACATATCCGACAGATTGAAAAGAAAAGTGAAAAACTTTTGGAAGAGTGTAACGAGCTTTCCGGAAGATTCGTGGCTTCATAAAAAAGCATATTTATTGCGTACCAATGGTACCTTTGAAAATTATATATTAAAAAGTATATTTGGATTTTTCGGTGGTATTTTTCTCACATATTTATTCTTCATGTTTTTCGTCGTACAATTAAATTTTTCTTTAACGTCGGCAACACTTTTGTGCTCGATTATCGGAGTAATATTAACTCTAGGATTATCATTTTTTACTGGAGTTAGGTTAGTATCAAATTTTATAATACGTAAGTGGGTTGAAAAATTTCGAATATATTTTTAAAAACAATGTATAAGCTCAAAACTTTTCAACCCACTCTCATAATATTTCAATATATATATATTATATATTTCTTTTTTTTTTTTAAATGAAAATTATTTACGCGGCCTAAAAAAATATATTAGATAATTCGTGGCTTGTTTATTTACTTTTTAAACAGGTGTGTTATATTTTTATTATTGCCACAATTTTTTTCGAAACGTGGCCGACAAGCTTTGATCGCATACGCTTTTATTTTAACTCTCACTGGTCCAGGAAAAAATGTATTAAGAAATATAAGCGTACTTACGGAATCTTTGGTCTGCGGCCAGGTAAAATTCGATAATTAAAATTTGATAGCAAATAAAAAAAATAATTGTTATTTATTAATAATAAAATATGGTTCGAACAATTTTTAGGAACAATTGAAGGAAGCTGTTAAATCCGTTTTGGATATAATAAAAGAACCGTTTTATGCATTGAAAGAAGCTATCATGAAAGTAACTAAAGCAGTTAGAATTATCGTATCGAGGATTAAACAAACTTTCATTGCGATAAAAAGACTCGTTCTTAGTATAAGTAATTAACAAAATGAATTTTTCCCCTTTCTAACAAATTTAAAACAAAAAGTAAAACAAAAGTACAATTTTTAAATCGAAACTTTTCTTTACCGTCACATTTTTCATTGACAGTCAAAGTAATTACCGCAGTATTTCAATGGCTCGGTAGCGTCGTGAACATTTGTAATAAAAGATTAGGCACGCCTTACGAAAGATGTCAAAAAGTTTTCGAAGGTGCCGTTGCCGATTGCCGAGCCAAATTGGGCCCAATTTTTGGTGGAATTTGTGATCTAACGTATATCGTTAGTGTCCTGTGTTGGATCGTTAAACCATTAGATTTTATTTGTATGTTAGTTTCATACGTAGCCGATGCTATTGTTGGTGCTGTTAAAAAAAGTAAATTTTTTTAAATTAATTAATATCATTATTATATAAATTACATTTATATGACATTTTTATTAATATAAATTTATGATATTATACAGAAATACGAAAATTCACTAGACACATGAAAACGATGTTTTACGTTAAAGTAAAGTTTTCTCATTCGTTTCATTTCGTAACGAATAAAACTAAATCTATACACGAAATAGCTACGGATATTTCTACTGAGATTAAATCAAGAAGAGAAAGATTCATCGCCATTTTCGATTGGGTCAATTGTTTAACAGCTTTCTTTATATTTTTCATGTTACTTAGGTAATTCATATTTAATTTACTTACGATTCATATAAGAATCATTATATTATATATAAAAATGAAAATTTCAATGAATCCTTTCCTATTATTTATTTATTTCAGAGTGTTGCATTATCGATACAAATGGTTAACCAGCGAAAGATTTGATAATAGATATATTACTAATGATATTCGTACGATTGATTTGATAAGAGCAAGACAAGATAAGGAAACGATATTACCGTTGAATCCTCGTGAAAGAAATCGTTATGTTTCAATGACGTCTATTAGATTAATTAAAATCGAAAGAATTAAATTAGCCAAATCTGTGATATTTTTATGCCTATCTACGATGAAAATTTGTATGCATATTGTTACGGATTATAGTCTTTATTGGATACTCAGTTTAATTAGATATCACGGTCGAATTGATACTCAGGTATTTCTATTTTTTTATTTTTTGTTTTCTTTTCTCACACGAAAGGGGACTTAATAATCTGAATTATATAATTAATTAATCAAACAGTTTATTATATTTATTATTATTTTTTTTTATTATTCGTAGATCGATCAGCCAAACTCTGTTGGCGTATACGTTTCGGGAACGGGTTTTCTTGCTGAACTTTACAGAAGTATAGTAAAAGCATTTACACCGCATATTAAAGATATCGAAATAAGTTCGGTTCCGTGTTTACCAGATCCAATACCACCTAATTACGATGGATATATTAGAATCTTATCTTTGATTTTTTTCTGTTGGATTATGACAATTTTTGAACCTTATAGTCTTCGATTGAGACAATTGGTAATGTGTCAGTATCATCCCGACAGAGCTAAGCAACGTGCTGCTTGGCTTTACAATCATATAATGCGGTAAGAAATATTTTAGAATTAAAGTAAACTTTTATTATTTTCAATTGAATAAAAATAAATCTGTTGACGAAATTAATTGGAGATATTTAAATTGAAATTGAAATATGATTTTATTAGTTCGAGAGGTAGTTTCGTTAAATACGCTAGACGACAATTACGTAGAAAATTTAGTATCAATGGTGAAACTATAGAAAGGATTACATTGAAACAACGTTTTATAACGATGTTTCCATTTTTAAATATATGCTTCCCACAAAAGGAAGAAACTTGTCTATTGTGCGGTGCTGTTAAATTAGACGATAATACTCATATTAAATGTCCAACACCTAATTGCGTTGGATTATTTTGCTTGCAATGTTTTGAGGATTTACAAAATATTTGTACGATTTGTCAATCGCCATTGGAATACGGCGATTTATCGGACATGAGTGAAGAAATGTAAGATTTTATTTTTTTATATTACGTTATTATATTAATATTAAATTTATCAAAATTAATATAAAATTTTTATATATATTATTTTTTTCTTTATAATTAAATGTGTAGACGATATTTAAATACGGCATTGATTTAAATAATAAAACAAACAATTTTTAGATGATGTGATAATGTATAATATTATAATATTTATAATTTCAATTGAAATCTCTAAAAACGATCGCGCGTTGTATATAAATTTAATATTATAAATCAAATGTTAAATAGAAAAATATTTCATATGACAGAGATTCATCGGACGATCAATTGAAAATAGTTCACGAGAAAAAATTAAAATTAGCCGAGATTGAAAGAAAGAAGAAAGAGGAAGAGAAAATAATGATGAAAGAGGAAGAAAATGGTTTAAAAGAATTGGAAAAAATCGAAACGAAAGATGTAGGAGAACAAACGGATGAAAAAGAATTCGAAGATTCCGATGAAACTAGTTCTACTTCGACTTATTCTTACAGTAAATTCAATCATTCGAATTATTAAAATAAATAAATCTGTAATAAGATAAAATATATATATATATAAAAAAATCAGGTTACCAAGATGATTTGACACGAGAACCAGATATTTGTCAACGGAAATTACCATTCAAAGATTTGGAAGCTCAAAAAATACGAGACGACGTTACTATTCAGGTTAAAAATTTGTGTGTGTAATCAAATAAATGATTTTCTTTTGAATAATATCTTGAAAAAATTAAATTTAGATATTCAACGATCCAATCGCGAGAAGTATAACACTGAGCAGCGATACAACACCATCTTGTTTCGTTGTAAGAGCACATAGAAAAGTTCGAAGTAGATTAAAGAAAAAACAACGTACGTTGTTTCCTTACGATGATAGTTGTAATTCGTCAAGTACGATAACAAATTCCGAATATTGTCCAAGCGAGGAAATAAAAGAGGATGAAGTGATACACATAGAATTGACGAACGATAATAATTCCAGAGAATTGTTAATAAAAAGTAAATACAAAGAAGATAAGGGCAAAAATCGCGTTAAACAAATAATCGGGGCATTGACCAAAATTCCATGGCTTGGTAGAAGTGTGAGTATCGTTACAAACACACAAATATTAACACAATGAAATTCTAAATATAAAAATCAATTAATATAACAGGTTATGTCAATAATATTTGATTTTTTATTTGAAGAGAAGAAAAGGATTCCAACCACGGAGACAATCTTTGATCAAACGAATAATTAAAATGTTAAACGTGAAAGGATCAAGTTCACCTGTACAAACCTACAGACGTATAAAATATAAAAGAAAAGATTTGGAAGAAATATCATCGTCAACGTCAACGTTAAGTGACGATAATGATGGATCGTATTTGATAAATAAAAATCAATCGAAAAAATGTATACTCAGAGGAAGAAATACTCGTCGTAATATTGAATGGGAGGATCCTGAGGATATAATTCATGCGAAAAATTATAAAAAAGGAAAAATTATTTGTCCTGGTAATGTGGACGATATTAATTGGCAATATCCTTGCGAAAAGAAATTTATTACGAAAGATTTGCCAAGGTAAACATTAAGGATTTTTATTGACAAAAAATTATATTGAGAAAATTTGATTTTAATTTTAATGCGAATATTTGGCTCTCAGACACTTAGAAACAATTTCAAAGTGCGTGTCTTATTATGAAATCGATGAAACTGGGGATTCACAATCATCTTGTAAATGTGTTCGTAAAGAAAATGATATTAACATTTTATCGGATGCGAGAACGTCGTCTAATAGTCGGAAAACGGATACGTGGAATATCATTGGTGAAGATGATTCACAAGTGAGATAATAATTTTTTTAAAAATAAATATAATTTGATGAACCTTTAAGTTTAAAAATTTATGATGTGTTTAGAATTATAATCTTCGATCATCTCAACATACCTATGTAAATTTTATAAATGAGAGAGCAGAAAAAATGAAGAAAAATCAAGACACAAACAAAGAAACTGAAAAAATTCTTCATAAAGGTGAAAATGATACAAACGAATCAAGCAATTACGATGACAAGTATTTAAATACAGAAACCGATCAAATGACGATGGAAGATGAAGAAGAAACAAATAAAGTTAAATTATCAGGTTTGGAATTGTATCGGGCAAAGAAAGATAAGATGAAAAAAAGATCAGATAAAAAAAAGAATATTATTCATTCACGAAATAAAACTGTTAACAAAGTTGACATAGGAACTGATCCATTTGATTATGACAAAGCAGTACAAACGAAGATAGGAAAACGTAGGACTAAACAAACTAATGAACAAAAGAAATTTGAAAAATCGAAGAAAATTAATCACAACTTAAAAACCAAATTTACAGAATCGAAAGAACAAAGATGGAAAAAATGTATCGAAGAATACAAAAAACGTAAAAGGTAATAGTAAAAATATGCATGACACAAGATTTCTAACAATAAAATTTATATTTTCAACAGACATCAAAATAAACGATCGAATGATTTTGATAATAAATCATGTTGGAAAGAACGCGATTTGAAAAATAAATTAACGATGATGGAAAAATTATATTTAAAGAGAAAAAATCGTAAGAAGAATAAAACTAATCATAAACGGTAAGTTTATTTCAATTCATTTGATCGAATATTAATTAATTTTGAATATTAGAGGAACTTGCGACGAATCTCATCAGTTTCCCGAAGATCATTATGAAAGAGAATTTATTCATGAAAGAATTTATCCTAAAGAAAAGCAAAGACAATTAATATCTGGTTTCATACCTATTGTATATCCTGAACATTTGCAAAGTTACAAACCGTCTTATGATTTACACGAAAGAAATCGTGAAAAAATATCGAAGCAAGAACAAACGAGCGATCTTGGACCAATTTTTCAACAATATAGTTCACAAGTTCGTCAATGTAAACCGGATGACGATAAATCGCGATATTATTACGAAAAATATTCTCGTCAACTTGAAGATGATCAAACTGATGATAGCAGACACCAAGAGTAACACACGTCTTCTTCTTCTTCTTAAACGTATTTTTTTAATTTAATTAAATATTAATCATTATATATTTTGATTCAATCAGTTATTGTTATCATTCGAATGAACATGCTGAAGAAGAAGTTACTACGTGTACAGAAAATAAAACTAATTCTTCGGAAAGTTTATCACCAACTTTGGAAAGATGCAAACGAGACGAGGAACATCGTCATAAACAAAATATTTATCGTATTGCAGCATCCTCAGACAAATTTCATCCTCCTATGATTAGAAAATATTTGCCTATGTATCAAAAATCGGAATTGATCGAAGAATTAAAGGAACATGATAGAATGAAATTAATTAGAGAAAAGGAAGCTATGAGATGTGTTACTTCGAATCCTTTAGAATCTAGGAAGTTATCATTTATTACTAAAATGCGAAAAGAACAAACTTTGAGCGAACCATTCGTGGATTGCGATCGTGGAAAATCAGTGAATGTATACAAATTATTTATTATTAATTTGTTTGTTTATTTTTTTTTTATTATAATTAAAACATTTTAATTTTTTCACAAGGCATCTCTTTTCTAATTAAATTATAAATTAAAATCTGATATATAAAATTGTTTAGGTAATTTTATATACGTTATATAAATTATTTTTAATTAAATAAAAATTATTTTACAGTACCCGTTATCCCAAGCAGTAAAAAATGAGAAACTTCCTTATCAAGAAACTAAAGCATTCAAAGAAGTAACGAAAGAATTTCGTAGACGAACATTGTCCACAAAAAAGGATGAAACTATACCTTTAATTTCTCAATCAAAAAATGCAGATAAGTCTAAAGAAGTCAAACAATTGTTTCCTCCCAATGAAAAAAATCGTAAATCATCCAACTTCGTATCCGACATCACCCACAGAATAGTCAATACATTTAAAGTAATTAATACGAATTGAAATTATATAAAAATTATGAAATATTTCTATTTTTGTATTCACATTAATTATTTTTTATTTTTATACATGCAGCCAATGCATCATCACACCAAATGTGTTAGAAAAAATCCCGAAATTCATGAAATGTCATCGAATGTTTACGAGACACCATGTAGAAGACATTTATCTGACGTTTCATCTTCGTCGGATGATACAACAGATAACAACGACGTGATTTGGTAAAATAATAAAATTTAGTAAGTCATGTGAACATTACGTATACATATTTTAATATACCATGAAGTTGTCACGAATTATCGATTGTTTCACAATTCTATTTCTTTTTTCTTTTTCTTATTACAAACAATTAACAAAATTTTAAGATTAACCTAAATTATAAAAATTGTCAAGTAATCCGTCTTATAAATCAAACGAAAATTTAAGACACATATATTTTTTTTTATTCAACAGTACAACAATAACAAAATAATACTCGAACAATGTTAACGATACCGATAATGAAGATAGTAATGAATAAATGTAAAAATTGTTAAAAAAAGTTAAGAAAAAATTTTCCTAATAAAAGACATGCGTCAAGAAAATTACGATGGAGAGAGAAAATTTGTAAACAAAAAATACGAATATCCTCTTGTCGAATTATTTTTTCTAAGCAGAGATGTCGACGAGAATAGACGTTAACTCGTTCCTGAAGAAATTTTCGAGAACGTGGAAAAGAAAATTAAAAAGAAAACAAATCTCTATCTGTCTATCTATGTGTTGTACAAAATTTTAATCAATTTTTCAATCCAAGTTAAAGTACAAAATCGTACAAAATTACAAGATGTTTAAATTGGGTAAAATACTTTGTAAACATCCATCGAAATTGTCAAATCTTGAATCGGAACAAGTTAAACAAAAAGAACAAAAAGGAATTCAATATTCTTATACGTCTCTTCAACAAAACAACAATTCTAATAATCAAACAAAACTTTCCATCTCTCAATCAAAAAATGAGCCAATTTCGAAGCAACAAGAAAGAGGAACGTCTATACCAATATTCGAAGAAACTTTAGTGTCGCAGGAATTAAAATTGAAATTAAATGATAAACAAATGGAAAGCAAGATAGAGAATTCCAGTTCTCAAGGAAAAGAAGAAAGCAAAGAAAGTATATCCAAAGTGATAAAACATTATTCCGAAGATGCTTGCAACTCTAAAACGTGTTCTAACGAAAATTGTACTTCGAGTATTTGCAATCGGGTGATAGATAAAAAACGAGTATCTGAAAAAGATATAGATCAATTTAAATTAAACGAGATGATTAACAGTTCGATCAAAGAAGCTATGCAGACGTTAATAAAGCAGTGTGCAATGGTATTTAAGATGCAAGTATCCACGATAAACTTAAGAATTAAGTTTTGTGTTACATTAGTGTATGTTAAATTCCAATTTTTGTCCACTGTTTCATTTTATTTCATTCTTTTTTAACCCTTTCGTTACATATACTAGCGACCCACGAATGATATTCGCGCAAGAACATTCCGTAACGAAAGGGTTAATATTTTTATATTAATTAACATAAAGTAATCATAAAATGTTAATACTTTAGGATGGAAAAAAATCAATTCCATTAGAAGAAAAATATAAGGAACGTGGAAAAATGGATAGATCACCACGTAGAAAGAGACAGGATACAGCAATGATTCGAAAATGTAACGAGGATAATAATAGGTGTGTACAAAGAACGCATTATCATCCATGCGATTATTCGAGAAAATCTGAGAAACGAGGAACCAGTATAAAATCGTCTAAGGGTAGACACGTTAAAGAAGATTTGTGCGATAATTCGACCATTTCCCAATGTCATAATCTACAAGATACATGTTGCGATAAAGATAAGAAGGATTGTAAAACGGCAAAAAACGTAAAAACTGATAATCGTCGTATGACTGGAAACGTTAACATTTATATATGCTCAGAAGCTAACGATAAAACCCAGGTAAATGAATTTAAACTATTAGATAGGGGGTGGTCTTATAGTTCATTAGTATTACTATGTAAATATATATTGTTCTTAGCGCAAAGAAAAACAAAAACAAAAGTCTCAATCCTGCACAGAATCGAGTTCCGAAACGACAACGGAACGAACGGATTCAACGTGCGCAAGAACGTCAAGTGTCCCATCTAACAACAAGCTAGTGAATAATATACAAACGAGGTGTCCTAATTTGGAGGAGGAAGAACATTCGGACAATTCATTTTCTATGAGGGAACCAACGTGTGTCGTTGATGGCAACAAAAGTAATGGGAATTGTTGCGAGAGAAAATACGACGACGACGACGATTCATTTGAAGATTTAAACATGGATGATGATGATGATCACTTAGAATGTTCAAGTTTGTCGAGTAAAAGTATAAACGTTGATGATAGCCTAATCTCATCTATTTCATCTACGAGAGACGGTTGTTGTTGTCGTGACACTGCATCTGGTTACATTGATCTGAACCATTCGGATTTATCATGTTTAAAACCAAGATTCACAATTTACGGTAACCAATTGGAAGGTCCTTGCACGGCAACAATTTATCCAAGATGTCAGGGTGATGATCGAATGAGTGACTCTTGGATACAAAGATCGATTTGTACGAAAGAACCTGAACGTTTGCGTTGTCGCGATTCGTTCAATCGATCAATCGATCAACGTTGCGTTTATTACGGTGATATTTCCGAATGTTGTTGCAAAAAACGACCAGTATTTCGATCAATTAAAAGAAGAAGAAGAAGAAGAAGTTCGTTCGATATTTTACACGCCAGAGGATTATATAGAAAATGGTCGAGATGTTCTTGTATCGTAGAAGAAGACGAATTGGAAGATCAATGCACGAATGTTCCAATACAACATACGATTTGTCGAAATAATTTCGATAATACAAATATTGACGATCACAGTGAAATGATAAATTATCACGATTGTAGGATTAATAAAACTATGGATGATAAAGATAAGAATTTAATGAATAATCCAGGAAACGTTGTGAAAAACGAAGATACGTTGGTAGAAGGAAACAATGAAATTTTAAATAAAACATCTTCGAAAAGTTTGGATAATCCTACTTTTACGAGAAAATCGGATGATCTTTCAAAAACGAAAATTGAAATGTCATCTGCACAAAAGATAAATCCCGTTATCAAGTACTCTGCTACCAACGATATCATCGAAATACCCAAAGTTACGATAGTAACCAGACAAAAACCATTATCACAAAAAACCGTTCCTTCCTCTGAAAAAAGAAATAATAATTCGGTAAAACAAGTTTCCAGTAGTGCAGATAAAAATCTACAAGACGAGGGTTCAGAAATGTCAGAAGAAAAGGGAGCAAAGCAAAAGAACACATCGGAAAAGAAATCTAAAAGTTCGTTTTTGGGTCGATCGTTTAAAAGGGCGATGAGTATGGTAAAGCAAAATAAAATTCAATCGACGAATCCTGGAAAGGATAGTTATGACAATAATCCGAAAGATAATCATACGAATTTTCCAATCGTTTCGAAAACAATTCAATTTGACAAATCCGAAATCGAAACATTTTCTCCAGGTATTTGAAATGAATTATTAAATTTTGTTCGTTTGTTTAAGAATCTTCGATTGTTATATTTAAATATGTTATATCTGATTTTTAGAAATCAAAAATATTGGAAATCCAGGAACTTCGCGAAGAATCGAGCAAAGAATAGAAGAAGAAACGTTAGATTCTTCTAAATTAATTGGAAACCCTAATAAACGTCCCAGAACTAAATTACAAAATGTTTTGGCAAGTAAGAAAACATTGAAACCGGTTAAAGAAGAATCGAAAGATACGAAAAACCTTGAAAACGTTCAAGATAGAAAAGATAAAAGGGAACATTCAACGGGCAAAGATGCTACAGGTGATTTCGAAGAAACATCTACGAATAAGGAAGTGCCTTGTGAAAGGAAACCGGAAAATCTTGGTTGTATGGCAGATCGTTATTCTTACGGGGAAAAATGCTCGAAACCCATGATAAATAGATGCAGTTACTGTCGTCTACCTGTTGTCGATTGTACTTGTGAATGTAAAAGAAACATTTCTACGATTAATATTTCTTAGAAAATTTCTTTCTGACAAAATGCATTTCTCATTTTTCTATAGATCGTCTTGCAGCATGCGAATGTCGTCCTGTTTTAGTGGATAATTGTGAATGCGACAAACCATTGACTTGCGACGAGCTTTGTCAAACATCAGATATTTATTCCAGGTAATAAAACAATCGATTATTAAACATAAAAATATATTAGTTTGAATAATATGATGTACAGGTATGACGTATTATGTCTCGATTGTCAAAAACCAAGGGACAAATGTTGTTGCAATACGAGTCAGATAGATCATTACATTCCAAATTACGAAGTTCCATGTAACGAGACCGTGATTTGCGTTTATTGTGAATATCCTCGAGATAAATGTATTTGTAGATCACCAATTCGTAAATGTTCATATTGCAATCTCACCTTTGACATATGTAAATGTCGTGAATTTCAAATTTACGATGGTCGACCGATTGTCACCGCCGATTGTGACGATGATCAAAAAATATGCGTTACCGCTTGGAAACCTAAATCCGAAATAAAACGATATTTTTCAAGAAATTTCGATACATTTCCATCTGATTACCTTGACGAATGTTATTGTCGTAAAACCCATAAAGCATATGGTTATAACGAACTTCCTTATCAACGATTAAGTATCTTTTCGGATGTGATGAGCGAGCTTCAACAAAAAATAAGTGATTCTGTGTGTTGCGAGAGATGTAAAATGACTCCTTGTTGTTGCAGAGGAGCAAGTTTTTCTAAAAACGTGGGGAATGACGAGAGGAAGGGGAGATGTTATGTCAGGTAAATTATTAATATGATTTTTATTAACTTAATGTATATATGAAAAAAAATATTTCGAATTAAAATGATTCAAATTTTATAACGATATATGTTATCTACGAATATTCTAGCTCGAAATTAAGACAAAGATCGAGAAGTCCGGAAGTAGAACACGTTAGAGGAAAATCTTGTAAAAATCACAGATACGGTCGGAGTCCGGACAGAAATATTCAACGAAGAACGATGCCTATTTCTCGTATTTGTTATTCCTGCAAAGCGTTACCTTGTAAATGTAAAAAAGGAAAGGCAACTATAAAGAGACCACGAGCGAAATGTTATTACTGCAAAAGTTGTCCCTGCACGTAAGTTTAAATAAAATATTCGAATGATATTAACTATTATCTTACTATAATCATATTTTATGAAAAAAAGATTATCAATTAAAAAATACTTTCTTCGCGTGATTATCAATTAACAATAATTGTATGCAGCTGTATCAGTGGAAGACAACTAAACAAATCAAGGTCATGCAAGTGTGGTGATTCAACGTGTCGTACTAAAGAGAAGGAAACTGCGGTATGTGGAAAGGCATTCAATGATCCACGAAAGAAAAACGAAGATAAGGTACTTTGTAGCCGTGATTAAAATTTGCACCTGACCCGTTTTACGAAACTATACCGGGGTTATAAAAATCTTTAGCAACAAAATTTATTATAAAATAAAAATACGGACGAAGATAAAAGACGTAAACAGAGTAGAGTACTTAAAACCAGACACTTCGATAATAATAAAATGTTTTATCGCGTTTCTCATGCTCGTATTTAAACTTCGGTCTTTTTTATTTTCATTTTTTTTCCTTTTCTTTTTCTTTTTTCAAAAAGTTACAAACACGTACGAATATTTATTTGTTGTTATCGTACGTCAAATAATTCAATAACATTATCGTAATTTAGAAATATTATTATCACAATTAGAAATAGAAGATTTATACATTCAATTTTGTTCCATTTGTATTATAATAAATAACATACATAACAATAAATCAGATTAAAATGAACTAACGATATCTCGAAGAAAATTATTGGTCAAATTTATTACGCGATATTCCTTCGTTGCGTAGAAAACAGATAGTCTTATCAAACTTATAATACAATATTTCAGAATATACTTAAAATCTAGTTTCTCATAAGTTGAGGAACACTGGTAATAACTGTAGCAAAATTACCGTAAACCGGTTGGATATATGAGTTTAGTGACACCACTAATTTTCGTCACATGAGCAACGAAATAAAAAAAAAAAATAAAATAAAATAAAATAAAACAACATATTTGTTATAAGAATCAACTAATCCTAACATTTGTAGAAAATTACGAGACAAACTAGACTTTAAACATTACATTTTCCTAATCAGAATTTCTACGTCACTAAAGGAAAACAATTTCTTTGTTATTAAATAAATGATGAGTCAATCAATGTACATAATTTTATCAATTTTCTTTACTTTCTCTTTCCTTGAGTAAATAGAATCTATTTGGTAAAAACTGTAATCATCGTATTATTTGAGTGATCATATCAAACTTCGATGTTTAAACAGATATTATTATTTGGACATGCGATAAACAAAAATACGAGTGTTCTGAACTTTTAACGAAAATTCCAGACTATGGACAGGCTGCGGAGTAGGGAGCATCTTACGTTGCATATAAGATGCTGTAGTTGAGTTGTACTAGACCTGTACGAGCTGTAGACGAGTAAAAGCCGTAGTAGTGTTACGCATTAGACACAGTGTTCCTTGTGCAAACTAAACGATCGGACATAATATTATTTTTCTTTTCCTTTGTAATTCGAAAAAAAAAGGAACGTGCACGAAATTAATCTTAAAGATCAAAAGAAAAAGTATTTCGTAAATTTTAAATAATCGTGTCTTCTGTAATAAATATAATTAGAATCATAAAAATAAGATAAAACATAAGAGAGAAAAAATGGACATTTGTAAACGTAAATCTGAAGAATTTTACGAGCCTTGTCAAGATAATAGTTTGGGGGATGAAAATTCTCGCCAAGGGAAGGTTTCTACTCTTAGTGATCTCATCGATGCATTGCATGATGCATTTAAGACCGACCACGTGGATATCGATCATGTTCAAGATTTAATGGAATCATATACGAGTAATCCATTGGAGTGGAAGAAATATGCTAAGTTTGATAGACACAGGTGACTATAAACATTTTATTAAATAGATATCGAGTTAACAACGATTGAAAACATTAGTCTTATGTTGCATGAATTAGATCAATCGACACCTTGTTTGCCAATACTGTCATTAACATTGCTTTCGTTAACGAGTTTCAAATACTGCATTTTAAAAATGAACACTTTAATACTGTATTCTTCATTCAAGAAGTACGCGATAAAATTATAATAATCGCGTCAAATGTCGATGGGTCAAGAAACTGAAAAATAAGAAGATCACAAAAATTATTAGATAATGATAAAGAAGGAGAATGATATAAAATATTTCAACGTGTGCAGATTATTCACCAGTACTCGCGAACGATCGTAGATATTCGTTTATGTCTGTGATAGCTCAGCTCAGAGATAAATCTTTTCATTATTTGTGTTAACATTTACAAACATATGTTAACACATTTTCGACGATATATTGACGAAATGTAATATAATACACGACGAAGATCATAACGGGGGTTATCGTTATGTATTTCCCTTATTTTCCTATGTTTGTATTCATTGCATTCTTCGTTACATTTTCTGTTTTTCTCGCTGAATAATCACCAATCATGTATGTAGAATAAATTTTTTATCGCGTATTTGAGAAATGTATTATCAAACTGAACGAAGAAAATCTTGTTGATAAGGGAGGGACGTACATCATCTTTCTTGCGTTTGGTAAGGGGATAAACTCAAACGTTATGAAATAGTTACATATATTTGCTTTATATGCCCATACACAAATATTTACAACGAATAATATACATTGACCTAACCGAGAAATAACGTAGATTATTCCAGAATCTTGTATCGAATTAATTGTCGATGAATTAGAATAATTTCAAGATAAAATATAAGATAACGAGCCACGCATATTTTTATATACTTACAAACAAATGATAAATTAAATTTATGAAATAGGAATTTCCTAATATTATTATTATTTAATTATACAAGCCTACTTGTATTGGTTCATAGCAAATAAAGAATTAAGTATATTTGATCAGAACACATTAAATTTAAAAAAAAAATTTTATTTTAGATATAATATGCATCATATCGTTTCACTTTAATTGTAGATTAGAATTAGAGAAAGTTATAGTTACGAATTGACTAAATTGTATACGCTGACCATACAGGTATATCATTGTAAATGCACTTATCCGGTGAATGGCTCGTTACCCATACTTTCCACGTATGTCCCCTTCTCTGTAGACATTCTATACGATCCAGAACATCGGTTCTTTGACATCTGATCGAAAGACTGGAAGTATTACGAAGAAAATATGGTAATTACTATAACTGCAATATATACTTTGCGGCAAACAATTTTGTAAATTCCAATTCCACGATTCGTGAGATAATAAATGTAAGATACCAAAGAAAAAAAGTAAAAAAGATATACTTTACAAGTATATTAGTTATATTTATTTCTAAATCAATGTTATTGAATTTTAAAAAATGTCTATGAGTAATCAAGAATAAAAACAGCAAGACACCAATGACAATATTGACTTATTTGGTGAATCCATTTTTTACTTCCTGTTGAATAAAAATAGATAATTAGTATGAATGTTTCTAATTTAAGTGAATACTTTGTTTGCAGGTATACAAGGAATTTAGTCGACGAAGGAAATGGAAGGTTTAATCTTATGGTGTTATGTTGGGGCGAAGGTCATGGTTCGGCCATTCATGATCACGCTAACGCACACTGCGTAATGAAAGTTCTTCAAGGAGAACTTCAGGAGGTTATTTATTTATTTTAACACACTTTGGATAAACTTTTGATACATTTTTTTATTTTTTTTAATATCATATCACATTGGTTTTAAAATGCACATTTATATAATGCAATTATCAACGTGGTCAATGACCACGACATTCAATAACAGTATTTTTTTCAACAAGTCTCTCTCTTAATCGATACTTCAAGTTTATAAATTATGATTGCCTTTGTTTTTTCGTTTTTTCAATGTATAATAAGTTAATATAAGTGTTTTATCTTGTCGATGAAGACACGGTACGAGTGGCCTTCTGTCTTAGAAAACAACGATATGACGAAAGAATCGGAAAACGAATTGAAAGAAATCGGAAGGAACACGCTCAGATGCAACGAGATTTGTTACATCAATGGTATTAAATAAATATTTTCTCGCGTTTATGTGTTAAATAAAATATAAAAGAATTAAATTTAATTATATATTTCTAATCCTTTTTAGATTCCTTGGGATTGCATAGAGTTGAAAATTCGAGCACCATTAACCCTTCTGTATCGTTACACCTTTATTCTCCACCATTTTCCACTTGTTCTATTTTTAATAAACAAACTGGACGCAGAATTGCATCTACTGTAACTTTTTGGTCCAAATACGGAGAGAAACGAAATCGTGTAAGATATATCTTTTTTAAATTTATGAAACATTTATGTAAACAAGTAAAATTATTTATTTTTTTTGTTTATATTCACAGCAAATCCAGAACACAAGAGATCCCGAGGACAATTAATATATCAAAAGTTATTAAACAAAATATGGCATGCTATCAATTTAATTTTAGACAAGTTAATAAGGCAATTATTTAAATATCAAATATATTTAAATTTATTATTAAAAGATACTTTTTTGGAATACTTAATTAAACTTAAATGTATGTATATATTTAAATAATAGTATAGAACAATGCATTCTTATAAATAATCATCTTGTATCTTAAAATAGCATAAAAATTGTTATCTTTGTAAATCGTAATACTTATGATTATAATATTACGATCTAATACACAGTAATGCAAAATAAAAATATAGTTTAATTTATTTTAAATTACTCACTACACTGAATGACATTTTTATAATGCACTCTATCCACTTGTGGCGCTATTTGTGTTCCATTTATAACACCATTGTTATTTTTAAAAACCCTAATTCTATGAATTTAAACGTAAAATAGTAAACACTTTTGGAAACATCTATACTAAATAATTGTTTATTTCCAAAATCAATTATGATAAGTCTTACACATGTGCAACGTGTACGAATGTTATACAAAATGATTTTGAGGTTACATCGTGGATTACCAGTAGAAATGCAATCTCTTGGAAATGATTACGTTCATGATGAATTTAGAAGACATAAAACGTGCAATCCTACTGAATCACATATTTTTTTAAATGAATGGACGGTAACTATATTATAATAGAAAAATATTTAAGTAACATAAATTATGTTTAATTTAATAAAATTATAGTTGATGTATCTATCAATAATTACCCATATTGCATTGTTTGTTATTGATCTTGTTATTAAAAATTGACATATTTTTACTTTATTACTTGATGTGCAGGATTATGCATTATCATTAGCTAAACAACTTGGATTGCGTGGACCAAAAACATCACAACCACTAGGAAAGAGTTTAAAAGAAGAAGATTTGAATAAATTAAAGGACGAACAATTACATCAATTGTATGAATTAATGGTAGCAGCAACAGGAAAATCTGGAAATAAATGAAATAAATCCTAAATTCAATATTTGTGAACGTAAAGTAAAGAATAGAAAGATATTAATTTAAGATATTCTCAAATATCTCTATTACCTATTTCAAATAAGATGCACACACAAATGTTATATTATTTAAAAGAATTGAGATTTAAAGATTCTATTTTTTTAGTTATGTAATTATAAGTACTATGTACTATATGCTTGACGTTTAGTATACTTTTACATTATATAGTTTGGATTTTAAAACATAATAGTATTTTATAAACGTATAATGAAATAGGAATTGAATCTATCACTTCTTAAATATTTTAGATCGAGACTGTGAATCGATAAATATCGATATTATTTATAATTAAAGTAGTGTTAAAAAGGTTAGGTAATTATAAACTTTTCGTTTAATTTCTAGTAAAAAATCTATTTGTGATATTTAAATTTACAAAAGAAATTATATTAAATAACGAAAGATGAAAGCTTGGAAAGAATCAGCAAGTTTAATTCTAGCTGCACGTAATGGAAAAAAATATAATCGAGCTTTGCCACCTGTAGTTGTGAGTTCACAAATAATTAAATAAATAAATTTTGTTTTGATTTACAATGATAAACTTTCAAGAAAGTATATTATTGACATCGCTATTATTTTTATATAGTTTCAGTATAATTACAAATTATTGTGTTTGAAACGTCATCGAAATTCAAGTTTTTATCCAGAATCTTATGTATTTCCTGGAGGAGTCACGCATCCAGCTGATGCCGATTTAAAATGGCATGAATTGTTTCGTACCTTTGGTTTCGACACCAACAGCTTCAATTTTCTTGTTCCAAATACTACTTTACGTCCACAAATATTTCAAGCCAAGCCAGACGAATTACCAAAAGAAATTTCATTGCGTATCACAGCTATTCGCGAAACTTTTGAAGAATGCGGTATTTTGCTTTGCAAGCAAGTTAAAAGAAATGGTATTCTTTCCAATTGGGCCAATACTATACCAAGTAATAATTTTTTTTAAATAATATGTTTACTTTTCACCTTGTCCATATAAATTTCTTTAGAAATAATAAATTAGTTAGAATATAACATGATTTTCTAATGAACAGATTATTTATTTAGTTCCTAAAGAAGATATACAAGATTGGCAAACCAAAGTACATGACGATGCTACAGAATTTTATAGAATGTGTGAAAAGTTAAAATGTTACCCAGATTTATGGTCCCTGCACGAATGGAGTAATTGGTTAACACCAACATACTTTACTAAAAAACGTTATGATACAATTTTTTATATAGCTTGTATGCCATTGATACCATATTCCAATTACGAAACTACTGAAATGGAAGATATAAAAGTAAGACTTATTTTTTATATAAAATTTTTCATCCGCAGAACTTGTAAGTTAAAATCATGGTACTATTATTATCAAATTATAATTAAATTTTATATTTAGTGGGATACACCAAAAGATATGTGTGCAGCTCCAAATATGATAATGGCTCCACCGCAGTATTATGAAATTTCAAGAATAGCCAAGTTTGAATGTTTGGAAAATTTATTGGACTTTGCAATAGAGAGAAGTAAACGTGGAGTAGAATTATATCTACCGGTATGATATATCAATAACTTTCTAAATATGTAATACAACAATCTTGGTACAATGAAGAAACAATGTATAATTTTTTCATCAGATTACGGTATTGCTACGAGATGGAAAAATATCTATTTTACCTGGAGACTGTATGTATCCTGAAAATCCTAGTTTGACTGAAAAGTTAATAATCGATAAAACAGATATAACAATAGCTGAATTCGAAGAGATGTCCCATGTAAAGAATAGAATTATAAATTTTGATTTGGAACTAAGTAAGGTAATAGTTCATAATTTTGATAGTACAGAAGGCCACATATCACCAATGCCTTTTGAAAAAGTTTATATTAAATCTTTGGAGAAAAAGTAATAATTATTTCTTATAAGATATATTATGATCTTACCTATTCTGTATAATTATGTTTTTAGAATATATATTTTGTAACAGGGAACTCGTGTTTATTTAGTTTGTAAGATATGATTCATTGTTCTTACGCTAGATAGCGTTGCAATAAACTTTAAGGTTAGTCTAGTCATAGTTCCTTTCTGCAATCTGCATCGTCTGTGATATCGCCATATTGAAAAGTTCTTTTTAGTGAGTTTCCTGTGGCGATACACGTGGTGAGTACATTATCGAATTTTATTGATATTATTTGTAATAAATTTGACATTCGAATTATATATTTTTTATCAAAACATATAACATTTCAATCGCGTTATATTATTTATATAAAATTTTATTGATATACCATATTTTGGTTAGTTTATCCGCTTTCGTATTCCGATCTATAACTTATGTGCATCTTTGCATTTTATGCATTCACTTGTTATATGCATTAACATAATTTAGATTTCTTCGAATATATTTTAATGTAAGAAAATTTGGTGTTTATTATTTATAGAAGAATTAAAAATGTCGTCCCATCTGAACTGGATGATCATTCGCAACAATAATGCGTTTCTTTTGAAGAAACGTAACATCAATAAACCTTTTTCCACGGTTTGTATAAAATTCATTTAATCCACTGTCTCATAATTTGTAATAAAATATTCTAATAGAAGTAATTGGTTAAAATTATTGTTGAATGATATTATAGGAACCAAGTAACTTGACCAATCTCAGTAGCTACCGGTATTCTGGTTTAGTTCATAAGAAGAGCGTTGGCATTGTGGATACACCTGATAAGAAAGGATTCACAGTTGTTTATAAGAAAGCGAGTAAAATGAACAAGCCTGCGAAGGCTACCGTTAGAAGTACAATGAAGAGTGGAGCTCGACGTTCCTTGTACAAGTTACGAAGACTGCTCAAGGCAAACAAATATCGTGTAGATCTTACCAAGGTAAATTGAAATTAACATATTGCACCTTTTATTTTACATTTTGTTACTATTTAATTTTTATTATTGATCAGGTTGCATTACGTCGTGCAAGTGCAGTTTTGAGATCGCAGAAACCTTTACCAGCTAAAAAGACACGCGTACCTAAGAAAACAGAATAATTGTGTATCTAAATAAATCTGCATATTAATATCATTTTGGATCAATTAATTGAGCAAAGCAGATATGAGAGATCATTAATTTTAATTCTATTTCATGTTTATTAATATTTCTTTATTCATAATTCATATTTCAGCGTATATTTTATTTAAAGTGAAATGGTCATTCATTTCTGCTTTGTTGAAGTTTTTTTATTTTATTTAAAATGTTATACACACGCCTTTTTGTGTTTTAATATTAATAGTAATATTGATATTTGGTGAGTATTTATACTTTACTTATATTTCATGATAACAACAAAGATTTAAAAAATTGTTCATGTTTCTAGATTTATCAAATTGAATATGAAGATTTGAAAAAAGAAAAAGTAGTATGAGATACATGAAGTGGACTATTAAAAAATTGGTAAGAAGTTTTATCTGAATGTATATATATATATAATAGTAATTATATTATTATAATTTTCTGATTTAATTTCTTATGATGAATTTATATTTACCACCAAGATCTATGAGTGCCATGATTAGTTTTTGTATTTGCTATCTGATGCAAAAAATAATCTTTGTATTTTTAATGATATATGTTTAATACAGATACAAGTAATTTGAATTTTATTTTACAGTGTTTCTAGTATGGTCTAGAAGAGGAAGGAAACTCTAATGATGGAAATTATGTGAAAAAATGGTAATTATCATTAATATTTGCAATAATTATTTGTTAATAAAATCAATTATGATGATAGTTTCAACCACCAAGATCTATGAATGCCGTGATTAGTTTTTGTATTTGCTAACTGATA